ACTTTATAACTGTATCATCGAATTCACCTAAAATACCTAATACCCTGTTGGGGAAACGCTAGTGAACACCTGATAAACAAACTACAAAGGGCCCAGAACAAAGCTATTAAAACAATATTTTCTATGGACTACAAAATATCGACTGAGGGTTTATATAGACAATTGCCATTCTTGAAGATGAATCAAATAAAGCAGCACGAACAATCAAAATTAATTTATCATTTAAAAAATAATCTTATTAAAACTAATAAAAGCAAGAATGTTCACTCCTACAAAATAAGATCCAGAGAGGTATAGAGAAATAAGTATAGTGCTACCAAGAAGTGTCAGAATTCTCCACTACACAGAAGCATCCAAACATTCAATCAATTTCCAACTAATATCCAAAGAGGCTGCCCAAATTAACCCGTGCCCTAAAAGACTATTACAAGACTAAAGACTAACTTGCTCTAAGAGAATATACAAGAATATACAAGAAGACTATTGTTATTAATATTGTATAGAAAAGAAAGTAGAAAATTAGGTACCTACTTTTGCTTTGAATTTATAGACTGAACTAGGAACCACCCCGAGAACCACCCTGTACCTATCTAATATACAAATTGAAAAATCTTGGTGCATCGTGCATTGCAGCAACTTTTCTTGAGACTTTTTCTTACTACTGGAAGAGGATCAGAAGAGTGTGATTTCTTTGTGTAAATTTTCTGCCCAAACGGCATCTCCACAGTAACCATTACTTAATACAAAATACTTGAGTTATTTAGGTAACTCCTAATTGTTTTCTGATTATGATTTTAATTAAATTATAAACTAACATACATTTTTCGTAGGTATCTGGCAGCAAAATCTGGCAAATGGAAAGATCTTGTATGTGTTGTCAGGAATCGGGCGAAAGAGAAGCTTCAGTTTCGCTGTTTTGTCCAAAAGCAAAACCAGGCGAGAGAAAATTTATCAAGGTAAAGCACTAGGTAAAGTCACAGTACCTGAGGACCCCCAAAAAAATATTAAAGAAATATGAACACGAACTTACCCTTGACTTTGAGATCGCCAAACAAAATTTGTCCTCAATTATTAACCTATTTATGCAATTAAAAATACGTCAGTTTTGTGTTATTTATATATGATAAAATACAATTATCGCCAGCAAAATTAAGCAGTATCTTTCACACACAAAACACACTAAAATCAATTAAAATTTAAACTAATTAATTATGCCTTATTTTCAATCAAGAAGAAAAAGCGTAATTTTTTGAAGAATGTCATTATTAATGTCAAAACATGTCAATGGGTTTCTTTTTATTTTTTACTCTGCTCTTGGATTCGGCTCGTTCACTCCGTACACCACTGTACGGTTCGAATATCGTTTTGCGTAACTAGAGTCAAATCCAAACGGTGTTTTATAGAGTGATTTGATGCAATTTGACGTTTGATACACGCATAAAACGTCAAATTGTCAAAGCAATGTTAAAAAAGTGCGAATTTCGCAGTTATGAGTACTAGGCTTACGTATAGCTCACTCCGGCTTATACGGAGTCGGAACAGTTTTTTTTCACGTGTAAAAAGAGCGATAAGGTAAACCGAACCGGAACATTTGGTGTAAAAAATGAGCTCCATTTACTCCTCTCCATAACGAGCGTAAATGGAGGAACTCTATTTGGAACAAAATAAACATATTTACCCCATCGACTAGAGTACCTCCGGAGTATCAAGCCGTCTAGTATGTTACCGTTTATTTCTTCAATCTCTTCTCGCCGATGATGAAAATAATGTATACGCATTTTTTCAGGTGACAACGAAAGCCCCTCTCGAATGCATGTGTAGGCCATGTACTGGGGTTGAAGAGAGCGCAGTAATTCCTCAAGAAATAGCAGGATATTCCGATGAAGGACCATTATCCGGTCATTTTATGAGATCGCATGTCCAGTAAATAAATTATATTATTTTTGATTGAATCATATATTTTTATTACCTAAGCACTATTAATTAAACTGTATAGTTAAATTTTGGGTATAGTATTTGACTGTATTTTATTGAATGGATTCACCTCATTGCCTAAAAATTTTGTTGGATTTTTGAATATTTTTGGAACCCGACCGATGACCAGGGATGTGCGTCTACACGTAGACTTTCATTGCCTACTTTACGTGTAGATAATGTAGACAATGTAGACAACGTGTCAACAATGTAAAATAATATAAATGACGTTTAATTCTAACCTCACACTTTCCTTTTTTTAAATTATTTTTATATTATTGGTTTTCCTGATATTTTATAATCAGTGAATGCTAATATCGAAGTGATAGTGATAGTACCTAGTAGCTTTTGATTTTTTTTTCGAATTTTTTGAAGTAATTTATTGTCTACGCCGCATGTAGACAATGTGTAGACAAATGCTCACGTAAACAATTCGAATTGTCTACGCGTAGACAATCAATTGTTTACGTTGACATTGTCTACAGGCACATCACTGCCGATGACTTCCGGTTTTCACGAGCTACAGGCTGACGCCTGACAGATCGACTTTTTGCGAAAAAAATTGCTAAAGCCTGTTTTTTTTTTTTTTTCGATAATTCCCCAAATCAAAAATTTAGTAACTATGTTGGCAACACAAGCCTTTTTCTACATAAAAATTTGAAAGCATTGACAATTTTACATTGTATTGCCAACATAATGTCATTTTGACTTTTATCTTTAAAAAAAAAAACAGATTTTATATGGAATACAGACTTTACACAAATCAAAAAATCGCAATAAAACGTAGTGTATATGGCATTGGCCTCCATTTTGAATTTCTTTTGGACAGGAGGTTGGATTGCCCTATTCTTGAGTAGGTCTGCGAGTGACGTCACAACTATTGGCAGCTGATAAGGGTGACATCACCCGCAGAAGTCAATGGATTGCGTGCTATTCAGGCTGTGCTTGTGAGTTTTTTCGTCGATTTCACATGTAGAAAACGTGATTATTTCTGACCTAAAGTGTTTTAAACTCGGATAATGCATTATTTACGCCAAGAGTTTGAGGTTGAATCGTCTGAGAACAGTTCAGAAAGCAGTTAATCCGAATACCAAATTTCTATTTTCCGAAGAGTTCCAGACTAGTGCCAGAAACGCAACTTCGAACAGTTCTAGAACAGTAATTACACAAGAGGCGTATTTTAGCGACAGGTAAACATCATACTACACATACTACGATTCATGACGTCATAGTTACCCAAATAACAGGTGGAGTGTATTTGACAAAGGGTCTAAGAGAGGACGCCACGATCGTTGTTTATTTGGATTTGTTGAATTTTGTAAAATTTAGCGTTTTCGAGTTTCAATATTATTTCTCCAGTGAAGATTTTCGAATATTTTTGATAGATTGTGGTATTTTTGCATTTTATGGGTACCCTATGCCAAAAAAAAAAAAAATTACACTTTTGTGCACAAGTGAAGATTTTTTATTTTTTTTGCAAAAAACCTCTAAAATAAAATCACAGAAAACCATGGCAAAATGAGGAAAAACAATCCTCTATTTATAATGGAAAGAACTGTGTCCGTAATCGTAGCGTAATCAGCTGATGTTTTGCCCATATGCTCATTTTCGTGTATTAGAAAAAGATGCACTGACATACTACAACCAGTAACTATCCCTCCTAGGATGTTTACATGTTTACAGTCGAGTTTTATGTTGTGTTTTATGTTGTGACGTCATAGTATGTTAGCCATGCTCGCTAAAATGTAGTATCCCAAGTAAATACAACATACTACTGGGTTAAAACTCTCGCTAAAATACGCCTATAGTCGTTTCTAGAACGGTTCAAAAGAATCGCACAGTTTATCATTCAACAAGACAACGGCTGGGCTATCACAAATTTTGATAATAAACTGTGCGATTGTATTGAACCGTTCTAGAACCGTCTTTTTTTCAAACTCAAACAGGCCCTATTTAGCTGGGTTCGGCTATTCAGCACGGAGTTGGAGTGGAGTAAGAACAGAATTTTTATACGTGATCTAGGAGTGATAAGAGTGAAAAATTAATATACGATCGACCGGAACGGTCGGAGCAAAAATGTCAAACAGCTAATTTACTTTAGGCCTTTTAGGAAACACTGATCCGATAAACGCGATCACCAGCTGTTTGTATTTTATCTTCCTTCAATGAATACGATTGAAAACAGACAAAGGATATCAGCAGGTGATCCGATTAATCGGATCAGCGTTGACGAAAAGGCTTTTTGTTTCGAAACAACAGTCAACGGTGACTTTACAACGTTCCAGTTTCCAAAATTTTTTTCACTTTTATCTTAGGTCTTTCGCGTACTATAAACTAACTTCAATTCCTCCACAATAGTTGTATTCCTTTCACACCTAGGAGGAGCTCCGGAACAGCTCCGGGGCTTCACGCGCTTATTCCTTTCGAAAAGTGTTTGTTGCACAACGCATCTGTTCCCTGTAAAGCCTAGTATTCATACTGCGAAATTCGCATTTTTGTGACATTGCGTTGACAATCTGACGTTTTATGCGTGTATCAAACGTCAAATTGTCGAACCAATGTCAAAAAAATGCGAATTTCGCAGTTATGAGTACTAGGCTTAAATCGGGGGCGACTGAACACCGGAGCGAGTAGCTCGAGTGTTTCAAACTCTTGAAAGGAATACAGCTATTAATAAATAATATGATGGTGACAACATAGGAACACAACAAGCTTGTCCGTTTCCACATTTCACTTCTGCGTATGCTTACTCTAAAAAATTATCTTTCCGAGGTAGAATCTTTGAAGTGAACTCCATCTCCATCTATTCCACTGCGTTTAGTCGAACGCTAATGGAATCACCTATACGTCAAAAAGCAATACCCGAACCGCTGGAGTGCGAATGGAGTCACTCGGAGTGCACGGAGTGAGCAAGCCAAACCTACCTTTTATGGAACGCATTCCTGTCAATGGTAGTCAATTCACTTATTTGACAGCTTGACACTTTTATTTTTTTATTCACTACACTACACTTCACTTTTCTCAAGAAAAATCTTGTGTTGTAAGGTTTTTTTCTAGATTTTTACTTATTTTTTAAGGAATACTCCTTTTTAATTACGTTTTAATTCGATCACTTAGTTGAAAATATTAATAATAAGGCATTTAGATTAAATTTGCCTTATTCAACTACGTCGTAAATAAATAGATTTTGAAAAGTAAGGTTATCTGTTGTTGGGTGCCTCATGCAATTTTGTTGTGAAAAAGTTTAAAGGCCGAAATGGGGGATAACAGCAGTCCCAACGCGATTTCCTCAATCACCCAGTTGATTAGGAATTGGGAGGAAGAACATTTACATACCAACTATAATCCTGTCACCACAATTACCCAGTAAGTATGATTTCTAGATAAGAGCAATTTATTTGAAAATTCTTACACGAAAATAAAACCGTATTTACAATTTCATAGCATTTCATAACTTATAAATTTTAGAATGGCTGAAATAATTGAAGTGGAAACAGAAAACTACCTGAAAATGGATCCCGACCCTTTTGACGAGAGACATCCATCTAGAACTGATCCAGAGTGTAAACTTGGTCAAATATTGAAAATAGTATTTCGGAAAGATAATTTCATGAGCAAAGTGAGTTGACTTTTAATGCTTCATATAAGTTGAACCTAAACTAAATATATTTTTAAGCTTCTAAATGAATACATGAAAGAAAATTATTACATCCGTAATAATGTTAGTGTTAGTGATTCAGATATTAATCAGCTTAATATTGCTGCCTGTAGATTGTTACTTGACCTTATGCCTGGATTAGAAACTACAGTTGTATTTCAGGTAAGTGGCATTTTATTTGCATTTTCATATTCCAGACGGAATTTATTATTCTATTGAAACTTTATTGTTATACCTTTCAATTTTGTATTTTTGTAGCCATGTGAACTGAGCTCCTTGTTGCTGTTGACTAGTTCATTTACTATTGATGATTATATCAAAATAAAAAATCACTATGCAGTTTTTTTTTTTTAAATTAGGAAATAGTCAAGCAAATACCTTGTGTCCATGGACCATGTCAATAGAGAGATGTTAATATAACATTATTATTGTGTAGCACATTTTTTGTTATTGTTTACCAACAAACACTTACCAAACAATTGATCTAGTGGTCCTAAATTTTATTTTTTAAAAAAAAAATATCGCAACAAACATCAGTTTATGAATGACATGTGGTGTCTATCTGTATTAAGATGTCATTGAGAAAGACACTGTACAAGGACACTTGAGGCGTTTTCTCGTGTCTCAAATGTTTCAAAACTGGTTTAAGTAATGTCACCATGACATCATAATTTCTTGGCGCGAGAAAATGTTTTGAAAAAGTGGATTGGATTATATTTCGAAACGGTTTGAACCAATTTTGACGTGACATCATGGGTTTATGGCGAGAATGTACTGTTTCAAAACAGTTTTGAAGCAGTTTCAAAAAAGTGAACGCGAGAAAATGCCTCTTATTTGTTCAAGCATTTGTCACTTCTTGACATTTTATCTCCAAATTATTTAAATTTTCACTTTTAAGTCTAGAGCACCATGAATTAGTCAAAATGCCTAATTTTGCTGTGCTCCAAGAGACCTGGAAAAATCTGTTTCGATCTTATTTTGTTTTTTTATACCCTCTATAGACTCATTTATAAATAGTAGAAACGCATTTTTGGAATTATATCAGTTTATTCAAAGTGAATGGTTGTGCATTAGGAAAGGCCATTTTCCAATGAATAATTTAGTACTGCACAATCACTTATGATAGGTACCTACCCCGGTACCTACTTAAATTAAGTAAGGAATTTTCTAGTTTTAGGAAAATTTTAGAACAATGTTTGAATATACTAGCGATTGTGTGGTACTAAAAAAGAAAATGCTCTTCAGGAATATGCTAATGAGAATGAGCCACATAAGCCTAATGTGTGCTAAAATAAAATAGAAAATCATGTCTGACACTTCAATTACATTTTGTAATTTTTTTTACTGCTACTTCACCTTCTTTCAAGGCAAATGTATAAAAAAAAAATTAAAGTCCCTCCCAATTTGAGTAAAAATATTATTGAAGTTGTTGGAAAAGTGTTTTTCATTTTTAGGATATGGACACTTTAATACATCGGCTAATAAAATGGGTGACCCACTCGATTGAACCCTTACAAAGTTACGCCACCGGAGTTTTGGCAGCAGCTATGGATATTCCAGACATTGCTGCCAGATTTAGAGAAGAAAATGGTCGCTTGGTGCCTCTTTTGTTGCAAAGACTGAAGCGCCTCAAAAATTCGTCTGAATTCACCAAAAATGCTAGTAATAATAGACCCTTTGCCCATTTGTCTTCACTAAAATCTCCGCCTTATAGGGGGGATGGTGTTATCAAACTCAATTCTTCTCAAAACTTCAGTAAGTAATTTAGTCTTGAAATAAAATCAATGTGTTAATTTTTGTTTTTTTTTTTTTAATTTTTAGTTAACAGTTCAGATTCTATTGAACAGCAAGAAGACGAAGGTGCCGTTGGAGTTGATGTAAGTAGTATTTCGATTTTGTGCTTCTTATCAACAAAATTATCTTTTTTTTGGAAAAAATCTATACACACTCTGTTCCCTAGGTGTATAATGTACTATTGTACCCTTTTTGTGTGCGTAAATTATTGATATCTCGTTAAAAATATTTTTCTGGTTTCAGCATCCCGAATTAGAGTCGCCAAGTAAAAGAAAAAAGAATCAGGAGCATGATTTTACTAGTCCACAGGTATAATAACTATTTTAATATTTTTACATGAATACACGATTTGCCTTTATGTTTTGACACACACGTGTAGCTTACTTATTTTTCAAGTTATATATTTATCTTCAATTTTTTGATGTATTGGAAATCTTTGTCCCCGTCTTTGTCTCATCGTTTTAATAAGAAGTTAGCTACCTTACCTTATGATTTAGATTTTAGAAAATTTGAAAGGTCGTAATTTTTTTTCTATTATAGATAGAAAGCTGAAATTTTCAGGGATTTTTATCCCAGTGGCGGACTACAATCCCTGAAAGTTTCAGCTCATTTGGACTTATAGTTTCAGAAATAAAATTGTGTTAAGCAATTTGGGATGATTCGTCAATTTTTCTGAGAGCCTTTTTTCATAGATTTCGGCTTCAAATCTGAGAATAATTTAGTGTATGGAGTTTGGGAGATCCCAAATGACCATTAGGACACAACATCTCAACAAAAAAAAATTAAAATTTCATCGTTTTAGTAAGAACCTTATGATTTAGGTTTTGGAAAACTTCGAAAGGTCATAACTTTTTTTCTATTAAAGATAGAAAGCTGCAATTTCCAGCATTTCTTATCCCAGTAGAAGACTGCAATCCCTGGGAATTTCAGCTCATTTGGACTTATAGTTCCTGAGATAAAATCGTGTTAAGCAATTTGGGGTGATTTATCAATTTTTCTGAGTGCCATTTTTCCTAGATTTCGGTTTCAATTCTGAGAATAATTTAGTGTATGGAGTTTGGGGGATCCCAAATGACCATATTAGGACACAAAATCTCAACAAAAAAAATTTGAAATTTCATCGTTTTAGTAAGAAGGTAGCAGCTACCTTATGATTTAGATTTTGAAAAACTGAAAAGTCATAACTTTTTTTCTATCAAAGATAGAAAGCTGCAATTTTCAGCGTTTCTTATCCCAGTAGAGGACTACAATCCCTGGAAATTTTAGCTCATTTGGACTTATAGTTCCTGAGATAAAATCGTGTTAAGCAATTTGGGGTGATTTATTAATTTTCCAATTTTTCTAAGTGCCTTTTTTCATAGAATCCGGCTTCAAATCTCGGAATAATTTAGTGCGTGGAGTTCGGGGGATCCCGAAGGACCATTAGGACACGAAAAGTATTTGATTCTTTTTCTTAACATGGTAAACTTTATGTATAATTCAAATTGTCTCATAGTAGGTATCATAAATTAGATTTACAATGTAACAATATACAAAGTGAAAAAATACTTGCAATGCTATTTATGATTCAGTAAAACCTGATTTGCCTTGGTATTAGTCAAATTATCATTTGATTTTTCAAATAAATCTTATTTCAGTCGTCAGAAAACCGACGAAAAAGACTTCGATTGGACCATGATTCTTCAAGCTCCATAGGAGTTTCCCCTCGAATTTCCAGCCCGAGTCCGCGAAAAAACAATTCGATATTTTCTGAAACTAGCAATTCTTCGTGGGCCGAACTGGAAACGTTCATGATCGGCAGCGTACAAATGTTTCCACCGACAATCGCCACTCGTCAGATACTCATTTTACGATACTTAACACCCATAGGAGAGTATCAAGAATTTCTGAGTCATGCTTTTCACGAAAATATCGCCCTGGATTTGATATTGACCTACGTTAACATAAGGCATACGAAAGAAGCCAGATTGGCGTTTGAAGCATTGAAATATTTGGCTGGACTTTTGTGCCATAAAAAGTTTTCCATAGAGTTTCTTCATAGGAGAGGTTTGGAAGCTTTGCTAGAGGTGCCGAGACCTTCAATCGGCGCCACTGGGGTGTCAATATGTTTATATTATTTGGGCTATTGCGAAGAAGCTATGGAAAGGGTGTGCCTTTTGCCACAATACATTATTTCAAATTTGGTGAAGTAAGTATGTTTTTATTTAGACTTATATTTCACGTATTTATAAAAAAAATTGTTACCTAGTTATGCATTGTGGCTGTTAGAATGTTCTCACGACTCTGGTAGATGCCAAGCTATCATGTTTTTTGGTTTGACTTTCCAGTTTAAGGTGATATTGGATGAGTTTGATGCCCAAGATGGGCTGAGAAAGCTTCATAACGTGGTAAGTAATGGTTTTGTTTGTTATTCACAGACTTGAGAACTAAGCTATTGCAATAATTGTATTTTTGTTGATCATTGATTTGCAAGACTAGAATAAATCATTTTATGTATTTTTAGATTTCAGTGCTGCCAATTCTACAGCCAGAACGGGACACCGGGCAACTGAACGAGGACCAAGAATGTGCAGCGCGTCAAATTGTCAGGCACGTCTGCGTCGCTTATCGTCGCTACTTGGAAGCTCATTTATATCTGAAAAGTGAAGTAATCAGAAGATCACAGTTCAGGCCAAATGAAAAACCTATAGGGCCAGTAGTGCTTCCTCTACCATGTTACCAAGTGAGTACAGTAATGTAACTAAGTAGTAAAAATTGAATAGAGAAAGCTCTGGTTTGAGGACAAGTTTTTTTTGTGTATGAAAGATGCATTCTCACCTAATTTCAAAGAAAACCATGCTTCAAGCAATATGACATGTAACTAACAAAATACAGATGAAGTAAATACATTAAGTCAACAATAATTTATTTAACAAAATCTAAAATACTTTGTTGAATAATGTTTCTTATTTTTGCCAAATATTGTATACAGACAGTACCAAGCTACTAGACACATAGGCTTCAATGGGATCAAATGACGGATACCCGTTTCACTGCAGAATCATCACGGAAGATCATTGATCGTCCCTGCCTGTATTAAAATTCGTGCATCTCCGGCAGCTCGGCCATCACTGCATTAGCCTAATCCGGGTATAATCTAATTCGTCTGATTCCTTCCTATGTGTCTAGTAGCTTGGTCTGGTCTATTAAGAACCACTAACACTTTTCTATTTTTATTTAAATTTACAATTATTTAGGCCTGCAAGTCGTCACCAGAAGAAGTTCAGCAAAACATCGAACTTCTCCTTCAACATTTGCCATTCAGATGTCATTGGGCACCAGTGGATCAGCTCCTCAAATTAGGCGACATCACGTTACTTTTAAAAATCATCGCTTTTGCTTATGAATGGAATTACGGAGGTAGAGGCGAAACAGTTCGTTCGGCCCTGGAAGTTATAGCCATAGCCTGTGTTATGCCCAAAGTTCTCATGCTCCTTTGCGAAAAGGTTGAGATTCCTGAAGAACGAATGACGGTAGGATTTAATATAATCATTGGCGCAGCTGAGGGGGAAATCGTAAGAGATTCTGACGTTGAAAAAGCTGCTCTAAGAGTTTTAGTAAATTCGGTTTGCGCTCCTATAAATAGAGTCGGTGGCACAGTGTCCAGGTTTTCCCAAGGAACGACCAATTCTCCTAGTAAAAAAATTAAATTCAAAAGTTCAGAAGATTTAATTCAAAAGGTTTGGGACTGTGTCAGATCTAATAGTGGCATTTTAGCATTGATTCAGCTAATGAATTGTAAAACTCCAATTACAGATGCGGATGAAATAAGAACACTTGCTTGTAAAGGTTTGGCCGGTCTTGCTCGGTGCGAAACTGTCAGACAAATTGTTTCAAAATTACCTTTATTTACTAGCGGTGAATTACAGAATCTTATGCGAGATCCGATTTTGCAAGAAAAGCGTCAAGAACATGTAGCTTTTCAGAAATACGGTTTGGAATTGTTGGAACGGTTATCGGGAAAAACAAAACACGGTGGAAATGATTTAGAAGTGTCTTTAGCTAATATTCATAGGATACATAAAGCGAATGTTGTGGCACAAACAAAAATTCAATTTAATGACAAACAACTGTTACAATTAATTCATCAGCATTTGGTTACGAAAGGCTTTGTCGATACTGCATCAATTTTAGTTAAAGAAGCAAGTCTAAGTAACTCTATCATGTCAATATCGTCACAAACTCCGAGCAAATTTAGATACTCTACCGAGCTAACACCTACAAGAACAAGACTTTCGTTTTCTACTCCTGCGACAAATAGAACTCTGCCATCTACAAGCTCTTCAGAAAATCAAATTAGCAGCAATAGTACGCCAACAATTAGAATTTTTAAAAAAGTTTTCCCAACCCCATCCATGCCAGTTCAAAATTCCAGACTTCAAAAGCAAATAAGTTTGGAACCACACAGATTTGGTGTTCCACCTCCACAAGAAGATTTGCCTGACCAACCCAGAGTCACCCTAGACTCAATAATAACAGAATATTTAACGAATCAACACGCCCTGTGCAAAAATCCCATGGCAACGTGCCCTCAGTTCAATCTTTTCGTGCCCCACAAGTGCCCAGATCCAAAGCCAAAATTAGTTCAAATTAACAATTTTGTGGTGCGGCATGCTAAAAGACAAATAGGTTATCAATGCAAGACGATGGACCGCAGATTTATACATTCTCGGTTTTGTCCGGTGCAAACGATTCGGTTTTCGAACGACGGAGGAGGCTTTTTCACTTGTGCCAAATTTCTTCCAGGCAAAAACTCTATAATCACCGGCGACTACGATGGTGATATTCATATTTATGATCGATTGACTGGGAACGAGGAAGACGTATTTTCGGCCAATGATAATAATTATATTGTACATTTGGAGCCTAACAGGACGGGAGAATTATTGTTGACGAGCTCGTCGTGGGGCGGACCGATGTCGGCTCTTTGGGCGATCCGAGATCATGAAATGAGGTAATTATCAAAACATTTTTTAAAATTAACTAGAAAAAAAAAATTAAAAATAAAACTAATAGAAAAAGAATAATCCCTTAAAATTTCAGCTCATTTGCACTTATAGTTCCTGAGATAAAATCGTTTTAAGCAAATTGGGGTGATTTATCAATTTTTCAATTTTTCTGAGTGGCTTTTTTCATAGATTTCGGTTGCAAATCTGAGAATAATTTAGTGTATGGAGTTTGGGGGATGTTAATTGAACATTAGGATACAAAATCTCAACAATTTTTTTTTTGAAATTTCATGGTTTTAGTACCTTATGATTTAGATTTTCGAAAACTTTGGAAGGGGATAACCTTTTTTCTATTATAAATAGAAAGCTGAAATTTTCACTGAATCTTATCTCAATAAAGGGACTACAATCCCTGAGAATTTCAGCTCATTTGCACTTATAGTTCCTGAGATGAAATCGTGTTAAGCAAAATGGGGTGATTTATCAATTTTTCAATTTTTCTGAATGACTTTTTGCATAGATTTCGGCTTTAAATCTGAGAATAATTTAGTGTTTGAAGTTTGGGGGATGTTAATTGATCATTAGGATGCAAAATCTCGACAAAAAAAAATTTGAAATTTCATCGTTTTGGTAAGAAGGTAGCTACTTTATGATTTAGATTTTCGAAAACTTTGGAAGGAGATAACTTTTTTTCTATTATAGATCTGTACCTCAGAGGTAAACTGTATTAAGTCACTATTTTTTCGAAAATGGGTTTTTAGCTGAATACTACTTCTAATAACTTACTTGACCTCCGGAAAAAATTTCATACACCTAGCTTTAAAGACAACCAAAGCTGAAATTTTCACTGAATCTTATCTCAATAAAGAGACTACAATCCCTGAAAATTTCAGCTCAACCTTATGATTTAAATTTCCGAAAACTTTGGAAGGGGTTAATTTTTTTTCTGTTATAGATAGAAAGCTGAAATTTTCACTGAATCTTATCTCAATAAAGGGACTACAATCCCTGAAAATTTCAGCTCAACCTTATGATTTAAATTTCCGACAACTTTGGAAGGGGTTAATTTTTTTTCTGTTATAGATAGAAAGCTGAAATTTTCACTGAATCTTATCTCAATAAAGGGACTACAATCCCTGAAAATTTCAGCTCATTTGCACTTATAGTTCCTGAGATAAAATTGTGTTAAGCAAATTGGGGGGATTTATCAATGTTTCAATTTTTCTGAGTGCTTTTTTTCATAGACTTCGGCTTCAAATCTGAGGATAATTTAGTGCATGAAGTTTGGGAGATGTTAATTGACTATTAGGATACAAAATCTCATCAAAAAAAAAATTTGAAATTTCATCGTTTTAGTAAGAATATCTCTGAAAATTTTAGCTCATTTGCACTTATAGTTCCTGAGATAAAATCGTGTTAAGCAATTTGGGGTGATTTATCAATTTTTCAATTTTTCTGAGTGCCTTTTTTCATAGATTTCCGCTTCAAATCTGAGAATAATGTATCGTGATGTCACGAAACGTCTCTGCTTCGCTGTGTAGCTCGACTATTCACCCTTAAAAGCAGAACGGGAAGGGAGGAGTAACAGGGAAACACCAGAACAGTTTTAAATAGCTAATATATATTGTTACAGGACGGAGATTACGGAAACATGAATATTTAGTTATTACCGCATCATCGTCATCTGGGACCAGATAACGTCCCTTCGGGTGGTGAGGCTCAAAAAAGGGCGGACAGTCAAACGTCGGGTATACCCCTGCAAAGCTAAATAACCAAACCAGCCCTACAGGAAAATCTAGAAAGTCTTTTCACTGTAGGTCAAAGCCTGGGTCGTCAGGGAGTATCTGCCCTGATAGAGATACGATAGCGTATTAACTTTATCAGTCCAGATAGTTCCCCAACTTTGAGTCGTCTCTAAACGCCTACTGATTGCAGCGAAGCGCTGAGACACGACTAATTTGCCATAGTGTGGCCCGGGCTTTTATATCCAATATTTGCTGACTATGATTAGGTTAATTTGTGTTTTCTTGCTTAGTTGCAGTTATTTGTTATAACCCGTGGTCCCATGTAGGGTTGACAGTGTTTTTGTTACATGTCTTATTTTAATTAAATAAAAATAATGATAATTTCAGGTTACCCTTCAACGACGAAGAGCACGTAGAATTTAGTAAACTAACTCAGGATAAAGTTATTGGAACAAAGGGAGAAGTCGCCACAGTAAGTTCCTTTTATTTATTATAAAACGATTCATTTTAATTTTCCCAAACCTATATTAGATATATGACGTAAATACTGGCAAGAGGATCCTCACATTAGCACCTCAATTAAGTAACTTGTACACAAAAAATAAAGCCACATTTAGCATGAACGACGAATTAGTCTTGACTGACGGAGTTTTGTATGACGTAAATTCGGGAAAAGAAATCAACAGGCTGGATAAGCTCAACCTTAATCAAAATGGTGTTTTTCATCCGAATGGCTTAGAGGTAAAATTGGGTTTCAGTAGAGATTTTAGTTTGTAACAAATAATTATTTGTTTAGATTATTTCCAACACAGAAGTCTGGGATATTAGGAAATTGCTTCTTTTAAAAACAGTTCCCGCTTTAAATCACTGTTCAATTATATTTTCTCCTGTAAATAGTGCAATATATGCTATAGCTATGGAACAAGAAAAAGACGATGGTGATTCCGTATTTGATTCCAGTTTTAAGACAGTTGATTCTAGTGATTATACTAGCATAGGTGAGATGAGACTCATATTAAATCTCAGGTTAATGTTAATCTTGTTACATTTTTCAGCTACAATTGAAGTCAAGAAAAACATTTACGATTTATCAGTGAACATGGACGATACTCAAATAGCCTTAGTTGAAAACCAAGGAATGTACAATAATGGCACTCAAGAATCAGTGGTGCGACTTTACGACGTAGGTAGAAGGAGAGTGGATGAGGACGAACAGGTAATATTGATATCCAGGCCTTCAGTGGTAGGAGTTTTGAATTTATTTTTTTTATAGGACGAAGAAGATGACGAAGATGAACTGGATGATAGTGATGATGATGGATCTGATGGTGGTGGTAAGTTATTTTTATTTATATACTTTAATATATCGTTACTGAAATATTATGCATTTATTTCATACTCTCAGTTTAGAAAACTTTCTGCTTGATCACTGGATAATATAAAAATTGAATTGATGATTTCCTTTTTTTTTCCCTGCGCTGGTTGCAAAGAATTGTTCAAAATGATCGGCTATTGTAAGATGGTCAGATATTTTTTCTTCATTTATATTAAGTTTATTTTGTGTGATAATTTACACAAAAAGTACACAATACCGGTGATAACTTACGCAGTACCAAACGCGTCACAGTTGTTTACAATTTGGCTGTTTCTCGGTGATGACTCCCGTACCAAACGAGCGCGAAAAACACCATGAGTTTCGTCGAAAAACTACACAAAAATCGCGATCGGCACACAATAATCACTCTACCAGTCTTGAAACTCACCGTGACCCCACGTTGGGCGCCAATTTTTAAGATAATTATTAGGGAAGTTGAGTACATAGGAAGAATTAAACGAGAACCAATAGAGAAAACAGATCACTGTATATTGGTCTTGTATTAACAAAGAAACGAAATGAAATTTGCAGAGATACAATACGATATTGTACTATGAGCGTTGTCATCTCGTAGTTGACTGGCCGTAGCAGGTTGACATAATACAGGAGAGCGTTCGCCGTTAAGTCGTAGCCGATTAGTGGCGTGGGGATTAGAGAATTTTGTTTCAAGTTTATTTTATCTTCAAATAATGGAAACACTGTGGCGAACCAGTCAATTTTATTCTTGGGTTTCAAAAATTATTTCTTTGCAAGCATTGTTTGTTTTTTTCTTTCAATGTTATTAAATCTGAATTATATAGAAGAAATCTAATTTTTCCCATATATTTTTTTTCAAATGCCCATTACAGAATTGAATTCCATCAAAACAACAACTTTATCTATCAATAAATTAATTCTAGATTCTCGTCTCGTCATAAATTTAGGCGGCAGCGATGACAACAACGACGACGACGACAACAACGATAGGGGCGGCAGCGACAGCGAAGATTCCACCTGGACCACCCTTTCGTCAGGTTCTGATAATTCTAACGTTTCAGTTATGGATGATCTACTGTTCGGATTTTAGTTTTAGACAAGCTTTTATTATAGGTAAGCGTTTGTATAAAATATTAGATTAATTATTAATTAACTTTCGATGTAACCATGTGATGTGATTATTAAAAGACCGAGAACATTCTGCTCCAATTCAAATCTGATGTGGTTTTTGACTATTTGAATAGTTATTCCAGGTATTTTTACGATTATTTATTGGGCAATTGAGAATTAGATCATTGTTCCAAGCAATTATTGAAATCGTTGGTTGCGATTTAGGCAGACTCAAATAATATTATCAAATAATTGGCTAGGTTTCACCTGTCACATGGTTAAATTGAGATTGGAAAATTTATTTTTTAATGCTGCCGTGCAAAAGTTTGAGGGCTTGTCCAATTATTTTTAAGATGCTTTTTAGAAATGTCGTGCTAGTGAAAATTTATTATTTAGGGGCTACAAAAGTTTAATAATTGATTTAATTTTTTGTCATCAATATTTCTGTTGTAGGATTTATATCTACTTTATACTCTTTTCAGACTAGATAGAGTTTTTTTTTTTTGTAATTTTTCATACAAAAATGTTATGATTCTTAGGGAATGTACTAGTGAGCTCCTATCATTAATTTTAGATTGTGTAAGAAAGGTAATAAAAGTGTGGGGTTTCGATTGTGGTTAGCATAAATCATATAAGGGTCTTTATTTACATGTATTTTTTTTTTATGTAGCAACTGTAGTCTACGAAAAATAAAAGTTCAGTGTTACGTTGCTGCAAGCTAAGAAAGACTTAGCAGTAGCAGTTCTGGTAATTAGTCACTAAAATTTATAATGAAAGTACCTACATACATATTTAAATATTATGAGCTTTAATTTTAAAAAACAATTGGCACGATCAAGTCTTGCGCCTTTATTATTATTGTTGTAAATAGAGATTATTTGATTTTATGTGATTTTTTTTCTTATAAAATAAAGAGTTATGAAACTTTTTCGTAATTTTTTTTTTATATAAGAAGCTCTTATACAGGGTGGTTGATTTTCGATAGTTTGATAGGGTACAGCCAAAATGGCCGAAGATACTGAGAAACTGATATACGCTTCCCGTCCTCTTTTTTAGTGTGTCATTTGATGGTGAAGTCAGATCTTGGCCAACAAGTTTGGTTTGCGAGGTACGCAGGGTGATTTTCAAAATCAGCTGTTTTTTTATAATCCTCTATAACTTCTGACCCTACGGAGATATAGAAAAAGTGCATAAAGGAAAAATACGTCTTTTTTTTACGTAGAATCCAGTGGCGTACTTAGAAAAAATATGGGAGCTTTATCTTCTGAGATATTCGAAAAAACAAAGATTTTTCAAATGGAACACCCTCTATCTTATTGGTTCAGTATTTTGAGAAAAAAATTGCGAGTTCAACGATACATAACACATGATATTTTGTTTTAGTCTAAATGGCGAAAGCAACAAAAAACACTTTTTTCTACTACCGTGCGTAAAGTACTCACTTTACGAACTATTCAGAATACGTAAAATTTCACTTCACGCACAAGTGTGTAAAGTAATTCACTTCACACACAAATTTATTTTTTTACACATATTTGATTGGTAGTTGAAAAAATTTTGTATGCAATATGTGCGTATGGCACCTTTTTTCACGAATGTGAATTATGACGCACGAGCCGAAGGCGAGTTCGACAATCACATTTTGGAAAAACAAAATTCTGGAATTCTGGAATTTTGTTTTTCCAAAATTCCCAGGAAAAAAAAAAAAAAATTGGAATTTTATTTCAGAAAAAATTAAAAAAAAAAATTGAAGAGAAAATTTAATAATAATCTTTATTTAGCGTAGTGCTACATACAAAAATCCATACATATAAAAGTTAAAATTTAAAATTAATAATAATATTTCGGTAAATAATAAATAGATATGTATATGAAAAAAAAAAAAAAAAAAGAAATATATATACAAAATACAACAACAAAAGGTTAAAAACAATTAATAATAATAGTTCGATAAAAAATAAATAAATACATATATGTGTACTATATAAAAAATGAAACAAGTACAAGTAAAAACAAATACAAATACAATGAGGTAACCTTAAACTATGCTAATAAATGAGATCTCACTAATCTTTTAAAAACATTTATGTTATCACAGTCTTTTATAGAATTAGGTAACATATTGAAATCGTACAAGCCCTTATACAGTACAGAATTGAGCATTTGACTAGAATTACACTTATCTATCAATATAAAATCAGAACGATTTCGTGTATCATAATTATGTACCTCTTCAAAAAACTTTATTTTGTTACAAATGTATGGTGGTAACATTTTGTTTTTAATTTTAAATAAAAATACATGGACACAAAATACAATTTTTTGCTTCACAGATAGCATGTTTAATACATTGAGCATTGTGGCAATTGGTGCATATCTATTACATCTTAAAATAGTTCTCATTGCCCTGTTTTGCACAAGTTGCAATTGTCCAACTTTGAAATTAGGCAAATTGTACAAAAGTGAAGAACAGAATTGGAGATGAGGTGCTGCAATGCTGTTATACAATAACAATCTTGTACCCAGTGACAATTGGCTCCCTACCCTTGCTATAAAACCAACTTTCTTGGAAAACTTTCTTGTTATGTAATCTGCGTGCTCGTAAAAATTTAAATGAGACTCAAATATGACTCCCAAATATTTAATTTGTTTTTCATGTGTTATTCTAACATTATTTATGATAATACTAACGTTCTCCAAGTTAAAATCTGCCAATCTGCTCTTTCTCGCAAATAAACAAAATTTTGATTTTGATGTGTTAATAGAAAGGTTGTTATTGCAAAGCCATTTGAACAAGTTATTTAAATCACTGTTGACAATCTCCTGCATACGAACTATATCCCTTCCAGCTAAATAAATCATCGTGTCATCAGCAAACAACTCAACCTTACAATCGTTCACAACATTAACTATATCATTTATGTACAGCAAGAATAATAAGGAACCCAGAACAGTTTCCTGCGGTACTCCATGCTGAACTTGTAAGGAGTTTGAGAAACTATTTCCAAATTTGACTTTCTGTTGTCTATTGGTTAGATATGACTGAAACCATTTCAACACTTTGCGACCAATACCAATGCTTTTCAACTTTTCTATCAGGATGTTTCTATTAACAGTCTCAAATGCTCTTTTGAAATCAAGAAATACTGCCAAAACAAAATTACCCCTATCTATCTCTTTCAAAAAACTATCAGAAATATTAATAACTACAGACACACGAATGACGTTCCCGAAAACCCGACTGATTCATAACCAAAATGTTATTCCTATCACAGTGATCTTGTAATTGACTTTTCACAGCCAGTTCCAATACTTTTTCATAAACCTCAACAGTATTTATTGGTCTAAATTCGCTATGAAGACAAGTATTTTGCACCTTAGGTACAGGAATCACAGTCGACTCTTTCCATGCTTCGGGAAACTCGCCATTTGAAAGCGATACATTCACAACATCCAACAAACGGTTTCCAACCGCATCACATATGTCCCACAAAACTTTTTTGGAAATTCCTTTTTCACCACCCCCGACATTTTTCATATCTTTCAATATAGTTTTTATATCAGATATAGATATTTGTTTGAAATATGAAAACTCAGTGTATTGAACATCAGGGGTTGCGTCAAAGTAATTCACTGGGAGGGAATACGTTGGAATACTGCTTATAATTTCTTGAATACTATTTATGAAATATTTATTAAATTCGTTGGCAATTATCACTTCATCTGATACTAGTTCATTTTCAAACTTAATTTCATTAGGCGTTGTCGATTTTTTTCCAGGAAGTAGTGTTTTCAAATTTTTCCACATTTCACGTTGATTAGTTTTATTGCCGTCAATAATTTCTCTATTGTAATTATCTTTTTCAAATTTGATTTGACTTACTATGGAGTTTCGCACTCTTTTGTATTCCCTCCAGATTTCATCGTTGTTTTCCCTAACGGCTCTCACATACAAACTATCTCTAACATGCATTCTTTGTCTAATATCAGCCGTTATCCAGTATTTGTGAATATATATTTGTTTAAAAACGATTCTTTGCTTAGGGCACATTGTATTCAAAATATCTGTAATACTGTTTACGAAACTATTTGCTAACACATTCACATCTCCACTATCATTCCTCCATTCAATATCAAAAAGGCAATTTTGTAATTGGTCAGTATTGTAGCTTTCCATAGATCTACGGCAAACAACTATATCACGGTTTCCATTCAATTCCTGATCAGGGTGAATAGAAAGGATGCAGTGGTCACTTATTTTGGGTGTTAAATGAACATTAAATGACAGATTTTTATTGTTTGTCACAATATAATCAATCAATGTTTTACTTTTATCAGTGATAGGTGTAGGGGAATCAACAATTTGGGAAAATCCATTCAAATATATATTGGATAAAATTTTTTCACCATAAAATGATGGTTTCAACAAATCGAAATTAAAGTCACCCATTATTATGTTGACACCCTCGAACGCACTCACTTGATGGATATAGCTATTAAAAAAGTCGACAAATCTTGCATTTCAGTCTGAGGCGGATGATACAAAACCGTACAAAGATACTTAATTCTAGACAACGAAAATTCAAGGGACAAACACCATACATAGTTCTGCACATACTGTACATTTTTCAATTTATATTTTATATCGCCTCTTACTAGAGCCATGACTCCACCAGTTCTTCTATTATTTGTGACACACTGTTGAATCTGGTAACCATCAATATGCAATTCACACAGTTCAACTTCCGAACAGACGTGAGTCTCTGACAAAAACAAAAGTTTGGGTTGCCAATCATTTATAAAAACATTTATATTGTCCTTATTATTCAAGTATCCTTGAGAGTTAAAATATACAATACTGGAATTAAATGATATTTCAGCATCCAATTGCTATTTAATAAATTTGTTTTTTTGAATATTTTCAACTCTTTTGAGGGTCTCACAATTATCCCTATCCCAAGAAACATGATCAACATTAAGAGACATTCCATACTTTTTATTCGACAAAACACAATTTGAACATTTATTCACGGTGTTATTACATTCTTTAATCTACGTCGGTGTCATTATGACACATTTAGCATTGTCATTTGAGTATCATTAGGTCCTTCATAATAGCACTAGTGCGTTTAAGAATTCATAAAAACACCCAAATTATGAAATGAAAAATATACAAAAAGAAAGCTAGTTACCAGAAGAAACTTTTCATTGATGCTGTCTCGATATACAAAGGGACACTTTCGAACTTAGAATCACCAATATTGCCATTATTTTCCACTATAAAACTGAATTTATGGCACAAAAATTGACTCCAATATTGAAGCTGCCAAAGTCAAAATTCTAAAAATCAACAAGCAGGTTCCCGACTAGTACGGGCACCTGCTAAATTTTGAATTTTAATTTTAAAAGTATTGGCTATTTCAAGGCAAATCAAATCTATTTGGACCATCGTAGATTAAATTTTGAATGATACACGTTCGATATGAACTTTATTAATGAAACTTGTGTAACTAAACCACTCGGCTAACGCCTCGTGGTTTAACGTTACACGCGTTTCATTATGGCGTTCATATCGAACTAGTATCATTAATAACTATTATATCATGTTCTTCACTACATTTAGGACAAGCTTTTTTCTGATTACACTCTTTACTAAAATGACCATACTGACAACAATTATAACACCTAATAATACCATACTCATTAAATACAGGACAGCGGTTCCATCCAATATTCATTCTTTCTTTATTTATAAACAAATTATATGTGTCATCATCCACCTCAAATATCAAATGAAATCTACGGCTTACAACTCTGGTTTTACGCAATATTTTCATACTAAAATTATTATTACCCACATTCAAATCATTTTGCTTTATTACCTTTGATATTATCTCATCATCACCATTCACATATTCCTTTTCGTTCACTCCTACCACTTTGATTCGATGCTGCAACATTTTGGGTCTATCTACACTGTAGGTTTCACCAAGCTTGTTTTGAATTTCTGATTGAATGTTTGTTATGGTGTTTTCGCTGCCGCAGTTGAGAATGAGGCCGCCTTTTTTTGTAGACCGTCCTATTGTGACACCAATTCCGATTTCCGTAGGATCGACTTTGCTTTTTAAATCCTCCTTTAATTTTTTGATATTTTTTGTTCGCCCTTTTTGATTGATGACCAATATTTTATTGTTACTTTGTGCAACCGACGCATATGATTTTTCAGGCACATGATGTAAAATACTATTTCCACATTGAGTACCTTTTAAGTTGGATATTTCTTCTTTAAGATTACGATTTTCCACTATTAGTAATTCAACTTTTTTGTTTAATTCATTAGTTTGGTTTACCAAGAGCTCCAATGTTTCATTCATTCTATCAATAATACTCTGATCAATGTATGTGTCTTCAACACGGCTTCTTTTTCTTGGCCTTTCAGGTTTGTTTTCGGACTCTGGGCATGCCTTGCACTTCCAGGTGGATTTTTTCATGTGGAAACCCCGCAAATCAATGTTTTCACATTTTCCGTGATAAAACTGTTTACATACAGTGCATTCCACAATCGATTTAACATCATCAAAACCCAATTTACACTTTGCACAATTTAAATTACGATCGCTCTCATCTACGCGTCCGTCCCCCATGACGGACGGACTACTACTGGAGAAAAGAAAAATTTCAGATTTTTTTTTGAAATTAGTCCGGAAGGAAAATTCTTGAATTTTTCTTTTTCCAAATTTATCCTTCAAAAAAGCATGCAAAATTTTTGTTCAAAAATACATATTCCTGAAATAAAATTCCAGATTTTTATTTTCTTTTTTTCAATTTTTCCTGAGAGAAAATTCTAATTTTTTTTCAATTTTTGAAAGAAAATTCCTGATTTTTTTATTTTTTTAAAGAAAATTTCAGAGTTTTAAATTAAAGGAAAAATGACAAATTTCCAAAAAAGAAAAATTCTGGAATTTTCTCTCAAAAAATAAAAAATTCTGGAATATTTTTTCAAAAAATAAAAAAAAATTGTAATTTTTCTTTCAGGAAAAATTTCAAAAAAAAAAACCTTTAAGGGAAAAATAAAAATAAAAAAAATCTGGAATTTCCTTTCAAAAAATAAAAAATTCAAGAATTTTCTTTCAAAAAATGAAAAATTTAGGAATTTTCTTTCAAAAATTGAAAAAAAAATTGGAATTTTCTCTCTGAACAAATTGAAGAAAAGAAAATCTGGAATTTTATTTCAGGAATATTTTTGAACAAAAATTTTGGATGTTTTATTGAAGGATAAATTTCGAAAAAGAAAAATTCCGGAATTTTCCTACCGGACTAATTTCAAAAAAAAAAAATCTGAAATTTTTCCTTCAATTTTTTTTTTTTGTTTCCTAAAAGAAAATTCCAGAATTTTGTTTTTTCAAATTCCAGAAAAGTAGTAGTAGTAGAATGGTTATTTATGAAATAAGTGACATTTTATTTCGTGAAAAGGTAAGTTTGGGACACGACGCCAAAGGCGGAGTGTTCCATCCCTTTGAACAAAATAAAATCACTTTTAGCACGAATATCATACACTATTTTTTCTACCAACGCACTAAAAGTGATTACTTTTAGCACTCATTAGGTACTAAAAGTAATCACTTTCAACACCAGTGTCATAAAATGGCATCTAAGACACTGACAGCATCCGTTAAAAATGACACTTGTGAACAAACGTAACTAGTTTGTAGAAAAAAGTGTTTTTTGTTGTTTTCGCCATTTAGGCCAAAACAAAATATCATGTGTTATATATCGTCGAACTCGCAATTTTTTTCTCGAACTACTGAACCAATAAGATACAGGGTGTTCCATTTGAAAAATCTTTGTTTTTTCAAATATCTCAGAAGATAAAGCCCCCATATTTTTTCTAAGTACGCCACTGGATTCTACGTAAAAAAAGACGTATTTTTCTTTTTTGCACTTTTTCTATATCTCCATCGGGTAAGAAGTTATAGAGGATTATAAAAAACAGCTGATTTTGAAAAACACCCTGTACCTCGCAAACCAAACTTTTTGGCCAAGATCTGACTACACCATCAAATGACACACTAAAAAAGAGGACGGGAAGCGTATATCAGTTTCTCAGTATCTTCGGCCATTTTGGCTGTACCCTATCAAACTATCGAAAATCAACCACCCTGTACATCATCATTGTGAAAAGTTTAATAAAGTGCAACTTAGAAGCTTATCCAATTAAGAACAGGATCAGAAAAATTGAAGTGGAAATGCTTGAAAATATCTTGTCATCTTGCTCTTAATGACTTTATATGATTGTGTGATGATATGAAAATTTGCAGGATTTATAGTCCTTTACTAAAACTACAATTCCAGGTTGATATCTATGATACAGTTGAAGATATGATATTTCATGGTTTTCAAGACTTTGACATCGAAGACTCCTTGCATCCGTCCTTCAGAAATGTTGTAGTTTCACATTTTTTCAAAATTGAGGGGGTAGTCAGAAACAGGAAAATACTAGTGGCGTACACTCGATCTACCTACAAATGGAGAACCATACGAAAATATACAAAACTGTATGATTATTCAAAAACTGTACATAGGATTGAATTCATACTAACATGGAAAGGTTGAGGGGCTGAAGGCGAGAATCCGTCAAAAAAATAATATTTCTCAAATAAAATTTTGAAAAATGCAACCGTGTAGGTATTATTTACAGTTATTTCAAAAATGCAGGTTTGACTGCCGCACCCTGTATATGAAAAATGTTAAAATCATGTCCTCTCATTCTCAATGAATTTGTATCTTTGGAACTATAATTCCAAATGAGATAAAATTTGCAGGATTTGTAATCTTTCTCTACAACTACATTCTCAGGAATGATCAGGCTAATATCTATGATAAAATTGAAGATATTTTTCATAGTTTTCAAGACTATGACTTATAGACGACTCCCTGCATCCTTCCATCGGAAATGTGGAAATGATAATATGATTATTCGTAGTTTTCAATCCTTTAATTTAGAAAACTCCCTCCCTCCTTCCTTCAGAAATGTTGAAATTTCACAATTTTTCATGTTGATATATTTTTGTCTTTGAATGATCATTTGGGACCCCAGACTTCATACAATACAATGCAAGATTTACTGAATTTGCAATTGAAGTTTCTCAAGCAGATATTTACTCTATGATCATAGAGACAGGAATGATAATAATAATAATGCAAAATTTATGATATTTTTCTTTTTTTATTTATTTATTGTAAATGAGACAATATAGGTCATGTGCGTGCATGTTTCTAATAATTGAATGCTAAGCCATATTATTAATTTAAAATTTCTTTTTCAGAAGCAAGTTTTCAAATAATTCAATTCAATAATAAGATATTGCTGCGATTAGTCATTCACAAGCATGCAACAGTGAGGCAGTACAAAATATAAATAAAATATTTCAATCAATAATATATACAAATACATAATTATCCATAGGCAGTTAAAACTAAAAAGTGCCCGAAATACAAATTTCTTAAAAATAGGTGTAGAAAAAAATCGAAATAATATTTTATTTTCAAACATATAACAGTAATTTTTGTGATCATTTTGACAAGGTATAAGAGTCACTTCAATGGGCGCCGTATTCATAAAAAAAAAGGTTATGCTTATACTTGCAGAATATAAAGGAAATCCTTCAGCTCGCATTCATAATATTCCGAGTAAAACCTTATACCTATAGAGTATGAGCATATTCTATCCTTTACAAAAAGTATTTGGTTATTCATAATCGTTACCTTTTACCTACTTTAAATACAAAGGATATTCTTCAATAATTAAAGGAAAATAATAGATCTGTCAGAAAACTAGTTTCAACCATCGAGCTTTAAACTGCGAGAGTGTTCAACGGTCGAAGGTTTCAACCAATGAAATTAACTCTGACTGGTTTGTGATTTCTGCGGAAACAGACCTATTACTAACACATATGTTTAAAAATCATAGCCATCTTTTTCATTTGTTGTTAAGGGTAAAGGTAGAAAAATCCATTTAGAAATAAAGAAAATCTTTGTAGGGAAATCAAGGCAACTTAAGATGTAAGTTAGACCATATTTACTTTTTAAATTTTACGCTAGTCTACACCTATTTTTGAGATATGTACTCTGAATAATGGCTTTTGATTTATCAAATAACACATGTCTTATTATAGCTATCAGACAAAGACGCGTAAATGTTAATATATCACAGTTTTACATAATATATGAAAAATTATTTTATATCTATTTTAAAAATAAAAGAATAAATAGTGGGGATACGGCCAATATTTATTTCCAGAAAAACTTTTATTTTCTGTAAATGCTTTAGGAGCCACGGAATTTCCTGTATCCATGTTTTGATTGAAATTATAAATAGGGCACACATTATCAAATCCGTTCTGATGACTCAATCACAATCACATCTACTAATAAATTATTGTATGTAATTAATTTTGTGCAACAATATTTGCGATCTACCACAGATATAGGTATATAATTTTCAAATAATGTGATGAGGATATTCTAAGAATAGTGGTCTATAATGAAGCGTATCCAATTATTATAGTTAAATACTGCTGTGTAAATGCCAAACTTGTTCCTGCCTCCACATCCGTCGCCAAAACTAGTGATACCTTGAACACTAAAACAAATACATATATTCTAAGTATGTAATAAGAAAAATACTGACCTATACACCAGCTTTTTACTATTCTTATTTGGACACATAAGGCCGCCTCCACTATCTCCTGCACAAGTATCAGCTTTACCAGATTTCCATCCAGCGCACATCATGTTGCTACTAATTAAAAATTCTTTGTAGGCCCTTTTGCAAGTCTTATGGGTTACTAGAGGTAGCTGAAACCAAAATATAATAAAGATAGTTTTTTTAAAACTACAAATTTTTTACTTTTGCTTCATGTAGAATTGGAACACCATACATATCACTAGTACGAACTTTTCCCCATCCCATCACTGAACACAAGTGACCCGATTTTGGTTTTTTATTGGGTAAACAGGCTACTGGGGTGCGTACTTGTCTCGGTAACAATAACAATGCTATATCATTATCTACTGTTTTTATCTCAAATCTAAAAAAGTTAATTTTTAACTATAGGAAAATGTATAATATATTTTTTACCTAGGATGTGCAAACATTTTGTAAACAGCCATTTCTATATCACTTCCATCTTTGGAACGGAGATCGTAAGCATTTAGGCGTACCCTTAGTTGTTTTCTGATACAGTGACTGGCAGTCAGTACCCATCGTGAAGCTATTAGAGTTCCACCACAAAATACTTCCTAGAAAAAAATATAAATGCAATTTAGAATTTTTAGAAAAATATCACTTTTTGGTATCTAAATTCTTAGATATTGTTGGCACTTTGAAGTTACAGTTCCTTTAAATAAAGTGATTTATAGTGTAGGTTTCTATTTATATATTTGACATAATGTAGTATCGAAGCATTAGTAAAAAGTACTAACAAACTTTTTTTTAGTATATAAGATTTTCGTTTCGTCATAAAAATTGAAATAAGTGCCGTAGCCGCCCATTTTATAACTTGATTTTCATTACTTTGACCCATTTATTTTTGATGCCAGATCAACCATTCAATCTTCGGCAATAAAAATTATCTTATTATTAAAAATAATGGACTGTTCTGATGATGTTGAAAAAATTGTTAAGTATATCTTTTTGGGTACCTACCCATGTTTTGTTTTGGGAGTAAAGGAACGAAAATTAATTTACCGAATATATTTGAGACAATGAAACAAAAATGACGTTGAAACTAACACTTCGTTCAACTACAATAACTATCAAGTTTAACTTACAAGAAACCAAATTACACTGGCTTAATATCGACCCGTGTTCCACTAACTATCCGATTTTTAAATTATGGCCAACTATCATACAATAACCGGATATAAGATATTCAAAATGTATCTGCGAAGGTACCTATACACTGTCTTGTAATCAAATAATACAAAGTTTTTGTTTGTTTGTTTATCATTCAGTTTTCAGAATTCTTCTTCTTTGTATTCTAGTTTCTGCTTCAAGATATAAGTTTTTTGCCAGCTGAATTTGCATCGCTATGCCAGATATTGTTGGCTTTTTCCTTCTAATATATGACATTCTGAAATTTATTTATTGTTATCATCAAATCAATCCAAGTTTCCCTAAGATAAGTACGATGAAATCCGTGGCTTCGTGGCAGACTATCAACAACCTGAGTCTATATGTCTTTTATATCACATTCCATGATTTGTATCATTTCAGATATTGATATCTATGACTCACGTTTTTTCTGTCCATGCATTCCATATGTCTTACCAAAATTTTGTTGTGCCTTCTGGTATTAATATTGAAATCAGTAGCTCATTCCAATTCCACTCTGAGACGTTTCATGAAGAATCTCTAGTAGTTCTAAACTCATTTTTCGATCATACTAAAATCCAAATCTCACTCACCTTAAACTGATTCAAAATAGCCACATGCCATGGCCATTTGTATCGCTGAGCCTCAGCACCCCCAATTATCCTTAACATTTGCGGTTTACTAAAAGTCACACCACACTTGTCAGTTTTCATTCTTGACTCTCTGGTAATATACTGATTGTTGTGGTAAGTGTATTGGTATCTCGTTTTCTCTAAAAACAATAATTAAATTTCAACCATAAAAAATAACTACCTACTGACCCTCAGAATTGTATCTTTGTTTGGCTTCTAACAAATTAAGTACCCACACCTCACAGCTGGTTCTTTCATGGTAACAATAAGCCGATTCGGTCTGAATTTGCTTCTTGCATCTACCTGGTTTTTTGCACCTTCTTAGTCGGATTGTGCGACAATCTGGTGAACATTCCGACCACTTCGACCATCTACTCCACACGTCGGACGGAGCTTGTTTTATTAAGTAACTTCTGCTCTGAAACAAAGATGAACTCTATTTGGAATAAAATGGGCGCAAGAAATTACCGTATTTAAATGCACCACATGAAATGAGATCTTTTTCTTTTTTTTTCTTCTGCATCGTTTCTTATGGCATTCTCTTTCTTCATACATTCTCGAATTATGGCAGCTTGGACTAATACACGTTTTTATTCTTCTTTGTAAGCAGTCGATACATCGACTCCATTTGGACCATATTGTGTATTGATCATCTGAAAATAATGCCCATCTATAATTCCCCAAAAAAAAAATTTCACCTGAAGATTTACCTAAACTAGTTTTATTGTTACCATCTAGATTATTTTCGATATAATCTGTTTCTGGCAGTAAGTCTTTCATTGTTGAAGTTTCTTCCTGTAGGTGGGTGACGATAGTGCTATTGGATATCCTTTGATGTCTTTTCTGAAACAAAACATTAGGAAATTATTGAAGTAAGTTAATTTAGAATAACTTTTTGAGCTAATTATTATTGTCTAACTATATAGTACAGTTCCTCCTTCTGGTCAAGTTTAAATATTAGATAATTGGGGATAGAACATACAATAAAACATCGATTGACACGTGAAGTTCAGTGACATAAATTTATCGACCTTTGCCCTAGATAATGAGCAAAATAATTGAGTACTGTTACCGCAACGTCCAATTAGAAGGAAGCCAATTCTTTTGTCATTCGCCCATAAATATTAACAACAAATTGCAGGGGATAAAAAAATTATGTTTGCGGTTTTGATTCCCAGGATTATCATAAAAGTCTATGGTGATTAGAAATCCTTGGGTCACGGTTACCTAATGTTAATTAATTTAATTTGGCGTCAGGTTCATTTAACGACAACATAAACAATTTGTTATGCAATGCGTGGTAAATACTACATTGTTTTATTTACAACCATAATTATCTTTACTATGTTAATGAAATTATGAAATTGCCAATAACTAATCGACTATGGGTACCAGATGGACACTTTTTTCTGAAAAAACTTGTGCTTCTAGATCTTCTGATATCATATTCGTAGGCATTATCAAACTATGCTTTCCCCAAGCTCTCCGACATCTTTTCATACTTTATTCATCGTTTTACTTATGTTTTGAGCTGTTGTTATCCATTTTCTTTATCTGTTTGTCTAATACCCTTACCTTTGATTACGAAAATGACGTTTTTTCAATTCCGTCGGTCTGTTGGCTCTCTATAGCTTAATAACAGCTCAACCGAGAACAACGATTTTTAGTATACACGATGGACATCTACTGAAAACGCTATATATAAATATATAGAGGGTGTCCCAAAAACTATGCGCCACTGACAAGATCGGTATGTGATACAAAGTTGGGTATATTAGCAAAAAGTTGCCGTTCTTGGAGCAGTTTACTACAGATACGTTTTTTTTGTTGTCGATTTTTTATATTCCTTTTCAAGATATACTCTACAAGATTGGGACTTGATATTTATCGAAGAAAGGGTGGGATTATCTATCGAGGGAACTGTGAATTTAAATGTAAATAGGAAGTTTCGCAATCTTTTCGGTCACCCAAACAAACCCCAACAGCAACATCATCTATAGTTATAGGAATAAAATACCTACTGACTTCAGTTTTGCGTAGCATACCTATATTTTTCGTCTGAAAATAACGTAAGAAATTGCATCAAGTTACAAGCAAATCATTTAAAAACATTGGAATAATAACTTAAACATTTTGTAATGGGTTGTTTATTATTTATTACTCTTATAACAAATTCAAATAAGATATAATGACATGTTGCTTGAACCTATTAACTAAAATTATCTCTCATTATTTGCGACAGCATTCAATTAATCCGTCGATAAGAGAATCAAGAATTTCTATATTCAAAGCATCTGTTGGGTTTTATTTGCTTTGTTAATCAATTACACTTTCTATTATAACTCAAAACGATAAATAATAAGCAAATTCTTTTAATTATGTTAGACATCACTCACTCACACGTTTACTTTGCAGATTTCAGAAATGTGTTGTATATCTAAGGCAAAGTCTAAAGTTATTATCGTTAGTACATTGATATTAATTTGTATTAACTAAATATTATAAACTAAACGTCTCATATGACGGTCTGATCGGACTTGATTTCATTCAATCTCAAAATGCACAAATAAACTTTAAGAGGCTAACTTTATCCCTCAACTCTTTGCCATTTTCAATTCCTCTAAACCCAGAAATATAAAGGAAGGAAATGAATGAATATGAAAATATCCAAATGAATCTACTTATAACACATAGTAAATCCCAATAATAGAGCTTTCGCTTCTTAACCTATTTAAAGGAGTTACCAAAAAAAAAATTATTATGTACTTCTCAAAAAATAGTAAATCCGATCGAGAAAGAAACAATTTGTTATACGATAACCTTAGATCACTTAAATTCTGAGGAGAAAAATCATATAATTAATATTTGTGAAACCTATAACGACATTTTCTACTTGCCAGGGGTCTTTCTTAGTTGTACTAAGACTTTTGAACACGAAATAAATCTAACAGATCCCAAACCAATTTACACAAAATCCTACAGATGCCCAGAAATCCGAAGTTAACAGACAAATTGAAAAAATACTGAAACAAGGAATAATTCAGCCTTCAGCATCACCATGGTCTGCTTCTTTATGGGTAGTAATAGGTGGTTCTAGGTGGGGGCTTGGGGGGGCTAAGCCCCCCCAAATTTAAATTAGTGATGAGTGGCAAAAGTTTGCAGTCCCTGAATAAAAAATATTCAAGCGTTAGGATTAATTAACTACATAATTTCATTAATTTCATTGATTTAATACCTTTATCTAATTATTTCATAAAATTTTATTCAATTATTTCATAAATATCCGAAATAAGGACGTCTGGAAACAGAGGCAGCCCTAGCCCCCACCGCTAGGGACAGGGTTGCCTGTAGATGTGTGTAGGGTTGCCAACCCTTTCGATTTAGGCGGGAGTCTCCCGCTTTTTTACTAAGCCTCCCGCGCCCTTAAACAAAAACTCCCGCTTTTCCCAAAAATAGAAATTACATGAAATATAATTCTGAATTAGGTGCCCTTATTTATTTTTACCTATGAGCCTGCGGTGAAGTGCACTTTACCGCACTTATTTGCTAATGGAAAGTAACACTTTACCGCACACTATGCGGTAAAGTTACTTTTTACCCTTAACGGCTTGACCGCAACTGCCGTTGCGTGCGGTAAAGTATCACTTTCCACATTTGTTCGAAAAATAACTATTACCATAATTTTAATGTTTCAATCTAGCAACCCAACGCAAATGGGGAGCTTTACGCTTAACGTCGATAGGCGGGCGCACTTTGATAATATTATTTGAATCTTTCTTTATTCCTAATTCCGAACGAAGACAGAACTACTCAAGCTTGAGTGCTTGGGTATTAAATCTGTACTGAAGGTTTCCTACCTTCGTTGTGACGCTGACTGTAGATTGTAAAGGGGGTTTGAGCTTCAATAATTCTTTACCAAACTCCACTTTATTTAAGCCAGGTTCGGTTGACACGGTCCAAGTATACTTGGAGTCTTGGACGCTGCGCACGCCTCACTTGGACGACACTTTTATCATATTAACTGTTTATCCAAGTCCAGGATAGGTCTTAACATCTAACATCCAAGTAAGTAGGCTGGCTGCCAACTTACTTGGTCCAAGTATAAGTTGTGTAGTCCAGTGCCGACAAAACTTTTCCTCTTGTAATAACTATTATTGGTAAGTCTGGCAACAACGTCCATACAATTTTTGATTTCGTCTTGAATTTAAGAATTTGTTTAAATTGCACCACTGGTTTCAGAGATCATTGACCGTCCCGTTACTTTTCGTACACTCTGTATAATATGATAAAATGTGACAAAATTAGGGCATGGCACCTAAAAAAAAAAATTCTGTCTGCGGCGAAACATTATTTTTCCCTCCCACTTTTCAATTTTGAAAATCTGGCAACCCTGGGTGTGTGTAATAAGTAGAATGAAACTTTTGTATTTTTCATAAATAAATAAATAAAAACAATTTTGACTAAATATTTATTAAAATATAAGGTTATTGGGCGTGGCAGCCAAAAAAAACTTTCGCCTCCGGCGAGGTCTATAGCAGCGCCTGCGGCGAATGACCTCGGAGCAGGAGCTTCAGCCCCCCCAGCACAGATGGGCTAGAACCGCCTATGGGTAGTACCCAAAAAACGCGACGCGAAATGGCGTATAGTCATTGATTTTAGGAAATTTAACGACGTTACTGTTGGTTACGCTTATCCTATTTAACATCGAAGAAATTTTGGATCAGTAAGGGCATAGTAAGTATTTTAAAATACTCGACTTAGCGTCAGGCTTTCATCAAATCTCAATGCGAGAACAAAATAAACAAAAAACTGCTTTCATGATACCAACTGGACACTTTGAGTTTAATCGTATGCCTTTCGGTCCTAAAAATGCCCCTGTTTGTTTTCAAAAACTCATGAATGCCGTCCTCTCGGGTTACTTGCTTTAACTGGCTACTATCGTAAATTTATTGATAATTTCGCAAAACTCGTTACAACCTTAGTACAAAAATGTTAAGATTTCACATTTTTTAATGTTGATATTTTGACTTGATCATTTGGGAACTTCATACACTGAATTATTGTAAGATTTGAAGTCAAAATGTTTGAGAAAATAGAGAATCATGGCAACAAAAAAAACAAAAAATTTGGTGTTTAATTTAAATATTTTTCAGATTTCTTTCAAGGTGTGTGAAGCGCATTATCTAATTGATCTATAGGTACACCAAAAATTATTCCAATAATATATTTAAGGGTTATGGTGAAAGGAGAAACCTGTTGACGCAAATATTCACATTCCGTTTAAATAACTTGCTAAAATATATTGCGTTGTTAAAAAAATTATTACACTGGTTCAATTAAACAAACCGCTATCCTCAAATCCGAGATTGTTATTGAAAAATTTATTAAAAATTAAAAAAACATAAATGTTAAATCCTTACTATATCTTTAAAATTTAAAAGCATGTATTTTAACAGGTATTTTAGGAATGTTTTTTTTTTGGCTTACTTGGACAGTAGTTACTATCCAAAAATAGTGTGTCAAAATAGTGTAGTTTTAATTCTACTATCTTGTACACTTCAAAAACGATATACATAGATTCCAACGATTCATTTTTCAGGAAAAAATTGAAACTGGATTGGAAATGAAGAGACTATTCTATATTCTACTGGCTTTGAAACATTCGTTAACTCAAAATAAATTTGGTTGTAAGATAATTTCTAGTGAACTATGGTGTGCTCTTTCAAAATTAGTTTTTACAGGTATTATTGCAAGGTAATCCAGGATTGAAGTCAATTACTTTTTTAATGACTTCTCTGGTTAATCCTAGAATACTAACCCTCTAAAAACATACGTAGATACTA